ATTCACCTGAAAGCTTCAATTCCAAATTCACACTAGATTTGCATGCATGTAAACTACCATGATGTCAAAACAACATCAAATCGACATCTTACATTGGCCTCCATGAACGTATCCGGACTGTGGTGTTAGAACTGTTGCGATAGGCAAAGAACTTTCCTGTAATTGATTTTTGACATGTTTTTTGATGCAAATGTAGCCTACTTACAGTACATGCACAGATACAATGATACTAGTTACATTTATAAACAAACCCATTCCTATAAAATGATTTACAGTCATTTCATTTAGCACGTTTTAAGACCTTTGAGTTTATTAATTCACATTTGTATTTTTTTCCCCAAATGACTGAGTAGATGTGTTCATATTAATACTTTAGGATAGCACTGTAAAAGATTATATGATCCATTAGTCATGACAGCATGTTTTTAGTTCATTGTAATTATTAAAGTTAATCATGTTCTAACTTAATTGTAAGTTTTGCAAGTTGTTTTAAGTCAGTTTAACATAAGTTTAATAAACTTGTAAAGTTAATTAAGTTCAACCAAGATTTTGTCAATTCCAAGATTGCCGGGAAAAAGAATTCGAAAATGTGGTAACACTTTATACTAACTACACACTTTGAATCATGTATTAAGCATTAGCAAAATGTTAATTCGTTACCTGTTAAGCATTATCTCTACATTAATAAATGTTAGTAAGCAGTTTATAACTGCAGATACAAATGCTCTAACATTGACAGATTTAAAATGTGCTTAATTATTGTATTTTTATGCTTTGTTAATTAGTATGTTTTCATAGGTAAATTAAGTATTGCATATTTTACAAACTAGTTATTTGAGTTTCTGTGGCTGGTTTTTAAAGATTATTCTGAATGCATTAAATTAACATTCATATGTCTTATTATTCAGGCATAAATTAATAGTTAATTTGTAAGTTAATAAATTCTTTATAAACTTCATCCAGTTGTGTGACCTAATCTAAAGTGAAGACTATTTATGCTTCATAAATTCTTTATAAATGACAATTAAAGGCTCAGTCTAAACCGGAAAAAAGAAAATAAACAACTTTGTTCATTTCTATCTATTTACAGATACACAAATAAAACTGTATCAAATGAAAAATAAATCTTTGCAATCTTAACTAACATAAAACAACTGCCGTTTAAACATCGCTAAATAACATTGAAATGTTATATCATAATTCATTCATTCATTTTCTTGTTGGCTTAGTCACTTTATTAATCCGGGGTCACAACAGCGAAATGAACCGCCAACTTATCCAGCAAGTTTTTATGCAGCGGATGTCCTTCCAGCTGCAACCCATCTCTGGGAAACATCCACACACTCATTCACACACACTCATACACTACGGACAATTTAGCCTACCCAATTCACCTGTACCGCATGTCTTTGGACTGTGGGGGAAACCGGAGCACCCGGAGGAAACCCACGCGAAGGCAGGGAGAACATGCAAACTCCACACAGAAACTGAAACTGACCTTCTTGTTGTGAGGCAACAGCACTGCCTACTGCACCACTGCATCGCCTGTTATAATATTTTGTTAAATTATTATATTGCTGTTGTTTTTTTCCAAATCTGTTTTATTTTGACACTCCTGTAGTTCAGCAATATTTAAAAATTACAGTAATTTTACTTTTTAGATAAGATTGTAAAGATGTGTTGTTCATTTAATACTGAGCCTTTATTAGGGATTTATTGAGCATAAATAGTCCTCACTTTAGATTAGGTCACAACACTGGATGAAGTTAAGTTAATAAAGCCTTTATTAAAAGAAACAATTAACTATTAATATATGCCTGAATAATAAGATATGAATGTTGATTTGAATAGTTTATTAATCATTTACTAACTCATTTTGAATGATCTTAAATAACCCCAACTACCATTAAATACAAATGGTTTGTAAATAATGCAATACCTAATTTAGTCATGAAAAATGAATCATTAAGAAAGAAAGTACAATAATTAAGTCAAGTGGTTCGGAAGACCCACCCCTCACTGACAATGGTCCAGAATTTGTCCCACATGAGCTCATTTGTCATATTTTGACTGCTATGCCATCTTAAATAGTGAAATAAAAGGCTTTAAGACCAAGCAGAATCCTCTGTTGGCTGTTTAATCAGCTCAGTTTTGGCCAATGTAAACTATTTTCATGAGTCCAACATCCAGCTGTGCAAGAAAACACACGATCTGATGAAAGTAAAGACATCTTTTGCTACTGTATTGTTTTTAAATGTTTTAAAAAAGAAAAAAAGACCAATAAAAAAATCTGAAACATCAAAAGCAGCAAAATTAAAATTAATTTGAATGCAAATTTACTTTTGTTATTATCCATGAGTTTTCAAATGTACTTTTTTACAAGAGACTTTAAATTAAAATTTAAAATATTGCACTGGTTGCCTGTGCACTATTGTGTCACTTTTAAAATTCTTCTCCTGGTTTTTAAATCTCTAAATGGCCTAGCTCCTTCCTACCTGTCAGACATGTTGACTGAACATCAGCCTGGTCGGTCTCTTCGGTCATCGCAGAGACTATTATACTGTACATTCCAAAGTCGAGGCTGAAATGCAGGGGTGAACAGCTTTCGCAGTAGCTGGTCCTACTTTGTGAAATGCTCTGCCCCTCTGTATTAGGTCTATAACATCTCTGTCTGTTTTTAAATCTAGGTTGAAAGCTAACCTTTTTGATTTGGCATTTGATCAGTGAGAATTGTTTGTTTTTAGCTATAATACCTATCAGTGAGATTTGTTGGTTTTAGCTATAACTTTATACTTGTTCTTTGTGATTTGTATTGTTCAGCACATTGGTCAACCTTTGATTGTTTATAATAGTGCTATATAAATAAAATTGACATTATTATTATTATTATTATGTTGTAAGTAATGTAAGTAAAGTTCTTTTATAAAATATTTTGGAACAATAAAAATTGTGGTTATGATGACCATCCAACAAACTAATCCAGCTAAAAATAGTGCTTAAAATTTCACTGAAACGCAGTATTTTAATCTCACAATTAAATAAAACAATAGGTGTGTAACTGCAATAAGGCCCACTTATTGAGAAAAAAAGAACCACCCCATTCACCAGGCTGCCTACAGGGCTGTATAATGAAATTAACTAAAAAGAAACACTATAAAGATGTCAGCGAATACATGCGTGACACCTGATCCACAACTGATCTTTTTTGTGCACGCATATGCAAAACTTGAAAAAAGGAAACATCTTTCTGCACTGACATGTGAAAAGCCAAAAACTGAATGTCAGTTTTTGTATAATTCATGTTCAAATATTTCTAAATTTCACAAGCAAAATGTGTAATGAATTAGGTTATGGATAGATTCTTTCGAGTTCCTTTAAGTTCATAGTAGTATTCATTTTGAATTTGATTCTAATGAAACTAGCCTTGAACATTATTACACAAAATTTGCATTTTCGTCCAGCTGATCCTACAGAGGGTTGTCTGTTTTGTGAGATAAGTAAGCTAATGTTGTTTTGCATATTGTTCTTTTAATATTGGAGAAAACTCTGACAGTTTTGTTCTACCTCTACACTCCCAATTGACTGCTTTGTGGGTGCCATTTCAGAGGCCAGTTTTTCTCTTTACCTTGTCAGTTTGTAGGTGGTGTGTGCATTATTCATGAATGAGAGCACGTCATTTATCCCTCTATGGGACTTTCCATACTCATATGTGTATATCACCCCACACATTTCACTCTGACTTCATATTGCACTGAATTTTACAGTAAACCCTATTAATCCTATTAAACCCTATTACACTATTAATTCTCTGCTATTGATTGTTGATGTTCCACAGTCCGAATGCACACATTATTGCACTGAACACACTCCCATAAACATATATAAGCAAAACAGATGGATCTATGATGTGTAGATGTCAGCGTCATTGTTGTTACCCTGCTGATTAGCATAAAATGAAAACACTTTTTGTCTACATTTTAAAATGAGGTGAGAATGGCATTAAACGTTTTAATTTTGTTGTGATATCTGTTGAAATAGCTGTTGCTTTGAAGGGAGATGATGGTAGAAATGACAAAGAAAGAGACTGTACACTCTGTTAATTGTAAAGACATGGACCGGAAAATCTTGAGAGAACATTTCGGGCAAAGAACTAAAGTTCATACCCTCTCACCCAGAATCTGAGAATAACACGAGGGAATTTAAGACTTGAGAAATGTCTTTTTTTAGTCTGTTTGCTCCAACCTCTGGGATCAATTTGACCAAATAAACAGATAATAATAATAATAATAATAATAATAATAATAACTGTTATTATTATTATTAACACCATTATTATTATTATCATTTTTATTATTATTATTATTATTATTATTATTATTATTATCATCATCATCATTATTATTATTATTATTATTATTATCATTATTATTATTATTATCATTTTTATTATCATCATCATCATTATTATTATCATTATCATTTTTATTATTATTATTATAATTAATATTATTATTATTATTATCATTATTATTAACATTATTATTATTTTTTAATTTTTTATTATTATTATTACTATTATTATCATCATCATCATTATTATTATTATTATTAACATTATTCTTGTTATCATTTTTATTATTATTATTATTATTATCATTATCATTATAATTATTATAATTATTATTATTATTATCATCATCATCATTAATATTATTATTATTTGATATTATGTCAAAGCGGAGAAATTAAGAGAATATACCTTCCAGAGGATTTTGTTGACTTTCTGAATCTGAATAAGTAAATCTGTGTACTTTTAAGAGTGTAAATGTCTCCAAAACAGACTTAAAAAACTAAGACGGAGACTCAGAAGACTGTAAGCTCAGAAGAACACACAGCATTTGTTAAGGATAAGCCAGTTAAATTTTAGATTTAGGTCTAGCATAATTAACAGGAACATAACAGTCTGACTTACTCCATTTTAAGTAAAAAGAGTATCTTACCTTATTAAATGAAGAACTTGAATACCCCTTTTTCGCATGAATGGCTGACAGGAACACATCAACCCACGAACATGTGATCTCAACGGCAAAGCAGAGAGCATTTCAGCAGACAGATTCCTTATTTCTCACCATCTGCATTACTTCCAGTTTAGACTAAGACATGTCACATCGCCTTTGAAAACGCTTTAATATCTTTTACCCTATTTTTAAATATAATTTTATGTATCTTAAAGCACAGTACTTTCTGTTTGGCTGTCAGCTCTCACACACTGACTGGTTTATTTCATTTGTAGTTTCCTGTGGGGGAGTGAACAGTGTTCTGTTGCTTCTTTAAAACTCCCACTTCTGCTGTTTCCCATACATACAGTGTTGCCTAATCTGTGCTTATTATGCCATTTTATTTGAATAGATGATGTTTTTACTGTACTGCAGTGTTAATGCAAGTGTTGTGTTTTGTTTTTATAGCTATCCTAAACACATGTGGATAATATTTAACGGTATACAGACTGAACAAACACAATAAACAGTTTATTTACAAATATCTCCTAACATATATTTACATGTATATTTACATATATTTATAATTTATTTATTAACTTTACCTCAGTGTTAAGGCATGTGTTAACTTTTGTTTTGTTTTTATAGCCACCCTAAAACATGTGGCTACTATTTAGCTGTGAACAGACTGTAAACACAATAAGTTTACAAATATTTATTGACATATATTTACATAGATATGTTAATAAATACATATTTACTGTGTATTTATAAACTATTCTTCAGTGTTAAGGCATGCATTAAGTTTTGCTTTTAAAGCTACTCTAAATATGTGGATAATATTTAACTGTACAGACTGAACAAATACACAACACAGTTTATTTACAAATACCTATTCACATATATTTATTATTTATTTATTAATTTCAGTGTTAAGGCATGTATTAAGTTTTGCTTTTAAAGCTACCCTATGTGAATACTATTTAATCGTATACGGTCAATACAAACACACAACACAGTTAATTTACAAAAATTTATTAGCATATATTTATTATTTATGTATTCACTTTACTTCAGTGTTAAGGCATGTAATATGTTTTGTTTTTATAGCTACCTTAAAAACATGTTAATAATATTTCATACATGTATACGGACTGACCGAACACACAACGCTGTTTATTTACAAATAGTTAATATTTACATTTGTATTTACATATATTTATTAACTTTACTTCAGTGTTAAGGAATGCGTTATGTTTTGTTTTTAAAACTACCCTAAAAACATGAATAATATTTAAATGTATATGGACTGACCAAACAAAGCATAATTAGTTTACAAATATTTATTAGCATATATTTACATTTATTTATTTATTTATTAACTTTACTTCAGTGTTAAGGCATGTTTTTTGTTTTGTTTTTAACACTAACCTAAAAACATGCTGATAATATTTAACTGTGTACAGACTTAACAAACACACAATACAATTAGTTTACAAATATTTATTAACATATATTTACATTTTTTTTTAATTTACTTTACTTCAGTGTAAGCCATGTATTATGTTTTGTTTTTATAGCCACCCTAAAAAAAAACATGTGGATACTATTTAGTTGTGTACAGACTGTACAAACACAACACAATATGTCTACAAATATTTATTAACATATATTTACATTTATTTAAATAATATATCTATTAACTTTACTTCATTGTTAAGGCATGTTTTGGTTTTGTTTCAAACACTAACCTAAAACATGTGGATAATATTTAAGTGTGTACAGACTTAATAAACACATAACACAGTTTATTTACAAATATTTATTAACATATATTTAGATTTATTTATTTTATTAGCTTTACTTCAATGTTAAGGAATGTGTTATGTTTTGTTTTTAAAGCTACCCTAAAAAAATGTGGATAATATTTAACTGAATACAGACTGAACAAACGAACAACACAATAAGTTTACAAATATTTATTAACATACAGATGTATGTAACAAACAGATGTAATAACAAACAGGTTTTTAAGCAAGCATAAGTACACAATAAATACATGTATTTACACAATAAGTACATTGTAACAAACTATTAATTCCTGTGTGAATACATATTAGTTAAGGCCACTTAATATATAAAGTGGGACCACTTTACTTTAGCGTTTGGCATGTTTTGTTTTATAGCAACCCTAATAATATTAAACTGTATATAGACTAAACAAAGACACAACACAGTTTATTTACAAATATTTATTACCATATATATATATATATATATATATATATATATATATATATATATATATATATATATATATATATATATATATATATATATATATATATATATATATATGAACATATATTTATTAACTTTATTTCAGTGTTAAGGTTTGTGTTATGTTTTGTTTTAAACACTAACCTCAAAACATGTAGATAATATTTAACTGTATACAGACTTGACAAACACACAACACAGTTAATTTACAAATTTTTATTAACATATATTTACATATAATTAATATTTATGTATTGACTTTACTACAATGTTACTGCATGTGTTATGTTTTGTTTTATATCTAGCTTAAAAAAGTGGATAATATTTAACTATAGAGACTGAACAAACAAACAAAACAGTTCATTTACAAATTTTTATTAGCATATATTCATTCACTAATTTTCTTTTTGCCGTAGTCCCTTTATTAATATGGGGTCGCCACAGCAGAATGAACTGCCAACTTATCCAGCATATGTTTTACGCAGCGGATGCCCTTCCAGCTGGGAAACATCCATACACACTCATTCACACTCATTCACTATGGACAATTTAGCTTACCCAATTTACCTATACTGCATGTTAAAGCCAGTTCTTTCTTTTATTATCATTATGTTTGGAGTAAATGGGTTAATTGAATGATATGATTATTGTTATTATTACTAAGTTTACATTTGATAATTATAGTATTCAGGTTCGAGTATTTTGTATTCGTATATTATTCATGTATAAATATTTGCTTTATTGTTTTGATTTTGTGAATTAAGACTTTTATTCTGTCGAAATTGGGATTTAAGGAAGCCAGGTAGTAGGTGGCGTAGTAAGGGAAGATGAAACAATAGGCTCGTTTGACTTGGCCAAAATCTGCGCAGAATCGATCAACGGTGATCATCGCAAGATGCATGCCGGTTAGAAATGTGTCCGCCTTGCCTTCGCCTCGCTCTGATGTCACGCTGACGTGCGCCAAAAAAACTCTCGCGATCGCGAGCCGGGTACCTCGGATAGAGCAGTCGGCCGCAGTTGCTCTCAAAAGACTGCGTTACTAAAAGCATGATGGGAAACGACTGGCTGACGACACAGCTTAATGCTGATTGGATGAGACTGACACATTACACTTTATTATCTTGTTTAACTAAGGTTTATACCTGGATTTATTGAATACCTTTTGTATTTTCGTTGATAATTAAAAAAAAAGTCATAAAGAGCATTACTTATGGTTATTTATTTAGATTTACACGCAAACAACAACAAAACACATCTTTGTAAAACATAACGTGACCTATGTAATATAACTAAATGTTATTAATAAATCATTAGGATGTGTGTGTGCTGTATTCTATTTCTCTCTCAGTCTTAAGTCCTGTTTGTTGTCATTTTCACTTTTTGTATGTTTGTGTGAATTTTGTATTGTAATTTTTATGCAGCATTATTCCATTAAAGTCAATCCAATATATACACATATTCAGAAATACAAAGATAATCAGACTGTTTTGTCATTATGCCTCATCTTTGTGTGGTTTCATATGAGAAGTAAAAAGGGTGTAGTAAACAAGACACACACACACACACACACACACACACACACACACACACACACACATGTATATGTATATGTATGTGGAGTCAAAAGTCATGTTTAATAGACCAAGAACATTTCCACAGTTTTTCCTGCAGTCTAATAGTTTTTATTCTGGAGAAAGTCTTGGGCTATTTATTTTAGTCTGGCTGGAGTAATATCAGTTTATATAGACATAATAAGCATGTCAATATAATTAACCCCCTAAGAATTTATTTGTCAAACAAACATTTGTCATGACCCGTCACTCAAAAGCATCTTGCTATGGCTACTTCATATATAATGTAGCCAAATTAGGTTTCTTGAAAGTTTTCTTGCTGTATAAGCTGTTTATTTTGTTATTCTTTTAACGTTTGTTGAATATACAGAATTATATTTTTAATACACCCTTTTAGTTAATGAGCTGTTCATCTTCTGTAATTCTGACCATCTCTGTAAAAACAGTGATATTTCTATTGCATCCACTCCCACATTAAAAAATACTGTAGTAATGTATACTGTAGTGCTTTTGAACCATGTTATAAAATAGCCTATTTAGATTTTATAGTTCTGGTATCACAACAACTATAAACACAACCCAATACTGAATAAACATGTTCAAAAATGCTATAATATTTTCTATAAATCACCATAGTATTTTTTCATGTGGTCATTCGTCTGCGATAAAAAACGCGAACGAGATCTCCGCCACTGGTGACGTTTCCAGGTGGCTAAACAGCGAGATTCGGCAGGTGTCCGACTTCTGATGTAATTTTTGAGCCCTCCTCTTACTGCGCACGCCTGCTCTCGTTTACAATGCAGTCAAGGCGAGGCGCACCTCAAACGAGCCTAATTTTCAGACTGTGGCTGCATCCGAAACCGCCTACTAAGTAGGTACTGCATTTGAATGTAAACGTACTACCCGGCCGTTAGAAAAGTACGTTCTATACAATATGAATGTGAAAAGTATGAATGGAATTCAGACGCACTACATCCACCATTTTGTCATGGTCATGTGACCTACCTGCGTCAGTTGCGTCGCTTCACTCCCATTCATGAATTCTCTCCTGAGGCACGATGGGATAGCGCAGCGTGCATGGGATGCGCACTTCAGAATCTCTCCGGAAGTAGTAAGTCATCCGGGAACTTCTCGCATACTGATTTTTCGAATTCTATGAATTCGGACATACTACTCGGCTCGCATACTGATTTTAGCACACTATATAGTATGGAAGTATGCGGTTTCAGAAGCAGCCTGTGTGTTTGTGTGTGGCGATGAGTGCTACTGAGGAGCAATTGAGCTATTTCACTAATTTGATGGCACAAGATGTAATAAAATAAAGATGAGAAAAGGATTCACAGCAGACTCACGCGTAATTGTTTACCCTTACCACGATAGCGGCTTAAAGCAAAAATGCTGCTACACCGCATGTCTTTGGACTGTGGGGGAAACC